ATAATTGGCGCATTTGTTGGTTGGTCTGCATAAACAAGGTCATTGGGACTCACGGGGGGGAAATCAAGCTTACATAGAAGCCGCTTATAAATAATATTATGAATCATGTAATTATAATTTCTTCGTTATTTACGCTTTGTGCTCGAGAGAGCAGCTCGTATAAAAATACCGGCGGAAATTGCTAATTAACACATTATATTGCGATCATTAATTCAAATACGATCGTTTATATATTCTGCTATGAAAGTCAATAGTTATTTTTAGATAATTGTTTATGTGTGTAATTCGATCTTTTCCATTCTTTCGTGCGTACGAGGGGGGACCCAAAAAAACCAGATTTTTTGTATAAAAACTTTATTAACTTTTTTACAAAATTCTTTCAGTATCCGTTTTCTTGGGTCTCCCCTCGTATATTGTAAAATACGAGGCAATCATATGCATATGGCTGTCGGTGTAGGGCAGACCGGGGCTAGTTGGCTAAAGGTTAAGTTGGCTAATTGATTATTTCTGTCGTTTCTTAACAGGCCTACAGAATCGAGCAAACAGAGATTTCGAACGCGTCAAAAATAGTTATGAAATCCCCACTTGTCTGATTCTCTAACCTATTAGAAAACAACAGAAATAATCAGTTAGCCAACTATCCCCGATCTCTTTTATAGAATGAGTTTTCGGAATGAATCCACGCACATAATGGTTGATGGAGAGCTATGAAATCTTCAGATGAAATAGAAAAATAAAGATAGCGAAATATTATAAATTTAAACGGTGACTTGAATTAAGACGGTGACGTGAGTGAATATATGTATTTTGGATTAAATATTTTTTTTTTATCTTTGAATATAAAGTTAACAAGCGATTATTTATAGAAAGACCGGTAGTTTTTTTTTTTATAATAGATACAATTTTCTCATAGACGTGATGTGTATTGTTTTACGATATTTCTCGTAATGCATCTGTATATATTCATGATGTATTCTCGAGAGAACTTGTTAAGAATGTCATGCTAGTCATAAAACGACAGAAACACAGAAAGATAAGAAAAGAAAACTACTATGACGTCAGTGCGATGTGTGAATTTTAGATTCGCGGAAACAGACAACGGAACCTATTGTGCAATAATGCAATTTCCTGAAAAGTGACTGAATGAAGAATTTGCATCATATCTAGTTTGCCACTGAAACTATTTTAGCTCTTCCAAATTCTCGATCTTATCTCGCATTTACTGCAAACCTCGACGATTTCGTCGCCTATTCGCTCGAAATATTTCGCTTCGAAGTAGCAGCGCATCTGGTCGCCGTGAAAATTCATCTTGTCATCGTGTGTTCAGTTCATATGCACACTAGGTGTTATGTGTGCCTTGACGTTTATCGAGCACATCTCGTGGCATTTTCAAAAATAAACGAGATAAACGAGCGCCGCGAAAACTACGCATGCGCGCAATTCTTTTATTAACATTCGTAAAATATTCTTTTGTACGGAATAAGTAATATCTGAATTGAATACTATTTTGAACATATAATATTATTTTTTACAAGACAATACTCGACCACACGTTGCAAAAGCAACATAGATACATTATCGACATTTCAATAGGAAGTTTTATCACACGTCACGTATTTACCAGACTGTGCTCTTTCAGATTATAATCAATCTTTTGTGTTATAAATCACGTATTCAAGAAATTTTTTTTATTCTCTTCAAGAATAATTTTGTGCGGCCGATATTATATAATGTAAATTTGGCAGAAATATATCAGTATTTTACCAGCAAAGCTTTCAAGTGTGGCATCCTTTTACGAGATAAAAAATATGCACAGATACTCGTATATTGTTATCACTCGTAGCTAAGAAATCAAGGATGCTGGATGAGAATTCGATTGATAATACATTGGTATTTGACACGTACGCACGTCGTATTTAAAAGTTCACTGTCACCAATTCCACTGTGATATATGATATTCATGTGATGGAATTGCTTTTCGAGAATATTACGTGTCGCTGGTGAATATTTCATGGTGGTGTAAGATCGACTCAAAAGAGCACTTTACACTTTACAAATTACCTTATAAAGTACAACGTGTTAAATGTTAGCTGCCAGTCACCATTAGCTATTTGTTTAACTACGATGAATCATGATGCCATTAGTCACGATTTGTATTAGTAACCCTTAATTCTAGAATGCGAGGTTTTCTGGAGCCAAACGATCGCTGAACGAAATACTTTGAACTGTTGTAGTCAAACTGTGAAAAAAATAACTTTTTGAAAAATTGTAAGCAATTAGCAGGTTATTGGTGCCGTTGAAATACCGTTGGTGAAAATATAGAAAATAATTTGCTTTCTCTGTAATACTTTCATGAATATAGACGAAATCGTTATTTCGGACCATTTTGTTCCATTTATCTCGAAAACTTGACGCGACAGACAATTTTTGCGGCCAGATTCGTATTCGGTGCACAAAATTGCGTGGAAAACCACCTATAATTCTCAAATAACCTTTAACATCCTTAATTTCGCAGGTCTACGTAATTGTTGCTTGTATCGAGGATATAAGCCGAAGGAATTCGTTAAACGCATATATGCCTCCGTAAATCAATGGTATTTGCCGAAAGCGTTATATGTATTCGTGGTATTGAAAAGGTTAAAAGCGATGCATTGATTTGCGAAGTGTCTACTATCTCATAAACGTTGTGGTATTTACTATATTTCGCGTATTCGTTCATTATATACGATCGTTAAAGGCGAAAACCGGATTTCAACTCTCGCGAATCGAACTTGTGCATGCGTACATTTCGCGGTTTCGTAACTTTTGTTGATACGTTCCGATGAATTACCACATAAACGACATTTTACGAACAAGATATGGCGGACGTCCTGTACAAATGCTGATATTAAGAAATGCAGATAAGCTTGTATGCTGCAATGCCGTGTGTATGTGTGTTTCGCGCGTGTTTGTGTATGTATGTGTGTGGGAAGGCTTCCACCTGTGTGGAAGCTAAAAATAATATTGTTAAAAAGAGTATACCGAAGAAGCGAGGAATCTAATTATGTAGATGATACAGGTAATCCTAAAAAAATCCTACTCGTTAAAGAAACGTACGTGGAAAAATAGAGTGAATACGATGTGGTGTAATCGAACTCTTCGAGAATTTCGTTTCTTCGTGCCGATGTTTACATACACGATGTTTACATTTACATATGCACGCAATTATGCAAACGATATCCCCAATATTAAAGCGACATTTTTTCGTCGCATCGTTTTTGTCAAAATGCACGTATATATGCTTGTACATACATATGTGTAACAGCGGAAACCGTGTGCGATTATTAAAAGATCGAATTGATGGGAAATATAAAGAAAGGGGGGAAACAGAGGAAGAGGATACACACCCTTGTGGACATTTATAAATATTTATTGAGCGAGAAACTTAGTTGATTTAATTATGAAAAGGACCAGTGAAAATTATAGACACTTAGTAGAAAATTCCGTCTTGTTAAGATGCTCTTGTAAATGTTTACGCAAAACATGACCCCGCTGATTGGGATCGAAACCGCGGAGGATAAAATGACCATTTTTTTCTCTATGCGTACTAGAAGGTTTCAGCAAGTTGAAGTCTCGATATAGAAGAAATGGCCAAAAGTTTTTTTCAGCACAATAGTCTGTATGTAATCTGTTGAATTATGTATATTTTTTTATAGCAGACTTAAAATGTGGCTCGTCTGTCTCATCGTACTATTTAAAAATTAAAAGTATGTTAGACTTGTTGAGTTATTACGATTCGATTTCGACTTTGCACGTAGTATCGAAGTAGCTCGTATATGTCGGTCTACATTAGGTGTTTTAAAGCCTTAAGCCTTAAGAAATTGACCAATCACAGTCGAATGTGCAGAGAATAATTAACTGATTGATCAAAGATCTGATTTCTTAAGGCTTAAGGCTTAAAATACTTATTGTGGACCGATGCTAACGGAGACTTTGGAACTACACTTTTGGAATAATAGCTTGATTTGCTAGTCCTAGCGAAAAATTAATAGCTGCCTAGCGCCATCTAACGGTGTCGTGAGTAAAAACTGGTTTCGTCTAAAGAGTCAGCTCTCGACTAACAAGGGAACCTCGCGAACTCGAAAATTCAGATTAATGAAACTTTGTACAACTGTAGGTTATTTAGGTAAATGAATGAATTTAGAAATTTTCAGTTGCTACTGAAAAACGGTTTGAAGGGGTGAAACCATCCTTCAAAGATATAAAGGCTTCCGATTTTTTTAAATATATTTTGTAAACTAAAAGAAATATCAAAAAAGATTTTATACGAAACTTTTATAGAAAAATTTTCTCTATTTAATTGTTCCATTCATTTTTCAAGAAAAAAATATTTTTTTAAATTCACTCTTTGTTCTCCCAATAATGCGTTATATTGAGCACACTTGTTCCGTTCTTTTTAGCTGTATCGTTGAACTAATGCGATAAGTTAGAGCGAGACAAAATATACTTGTCTCATTCTAATTTATTGAACCAGTTCAGCAATGCAGCTAAAAACAACAGACCAATTATCCTTGTACATAGCTGTGAGAACCATTAGATATAAGAGAATTGACCAATCAGGTACTCAGAAATGAAGGACTCCGATTGACTGATTCTTTTATATCTTATGGTTCCTGCACACAGGATGCGGCAACATTTGTCGCGCGGCGGAAATTCGCGCGGTAGCCAATAAATTTCCGGTCTTTCTTAAGAGCATTCTACAATTACGGGAAAACAACATGGCGATTGGTCACCGTGTGGACTTCCGTCGCGCGGCAAGCGTTGTCACATCCTATGTGTAGGAGCCATTATGGCCGATATTCATAGTCGAACTTTATATTTAAGACCGTTTTGAGTTTACCTTCAGATACTGTACGGCTCATTTCATTGGCTACGAAACATCTGAAGATGAACTTACGACGGTCTCAAACATAAGATTCAAGTGTGAATGCCGGCCTATATGGTATGCCGAAACTATGCTTCCAGCCGTGTATCAAAGGTAGGAAGGAGGGAAACAATATGGATTCAATCGTTGAACGTCTATAGGTTAGGAACGTTTGTGAGTTCGTTATTAAGTGAAGTTCGACCGACGGTCCACGGTGTTTCCTCACGATGGTGAAACTCACGCCGGATTTAATAGAACAGTCGATGCAATACATCAATCCTGTGCGAGATCGTGAGTTGGACCTGAGAGGTTTGTGAGAAATCGCCGAAGTTTGACTTAATTGTTTGCCGTATCGTGTTTATCATGCGATTGTTATATGTCCCGTTCGTATGTTATAGGATACAAGATACCCACGATCGAGAATCTAGGAGCGACCTTGGTAAGCATTTTTTTTGGTGCCTCGTCCAGTGGATTTCCATCTTGTGTTTATATTGAGCGCACAAGCTGTGGGCTTACATGAATAGTTGTGACTTAGACCTTTTCTCGTGTGAAATACTCAGATCTGAATTTAGAAAATTAGATTTGAGTTGATTTCTAGATGAATCATATATGCAAGACATTGTAATTGTGATTCCAAAACTTGTGTCTTAGTTCAAATTTGAATATTTTATATTTCAAATAAGTCTGAATCTATAATAGATGTAACAAGCCTTTAGTCTTTTGCTTTGAGTAATAAAATTTAACAATTTCTAGTATAAAAGGCGTGACATTAAATACAATATTAAAATAAGCTGTTATATTAATTCTTAACAATTGCAATGTTGCAATTGTTAAGAATTAATATAACAGCTGTTTGGTAGCATTGGAAATATTTCTTGCCAGAAATTACATTACAATTTAGTGCTGGGAGCAAAAGGCTCAAGACTCACTGTGTTTGTTGTGGGTCCAGCCTAAGAATTGTTTGGCATGGACCAAAATATCGTACAATCGTCATTTCCTAACGTATGCGTCGATTTCTCTTCTTACACAGGACCAGTTTGACACTATAGATTTCTCCGACAATGACATACGCAAGCTGGACGGATTCCCATTGTTGAAAAGGATCAAAACCTTATTCTTCAATAACAATCGTATCGTCAGAATAGCCGAAGGTTTAGAGCATTGTATACCGAATTTACATACGCTGATGTTAACCGGCAATATGATACAAGAGCTGGGAGACTTGGAGCCTCTTATAGCGCTGAAGAACCTCACGAACTTGTGTCTGCTGCAAAACCCGGTGTCGGCTAAGCAGCATTACCGGCAATACGTCGTGTATCGATTCCCGCAGCTTAGGCTGCTCGACTTCCGGAAAATCAAGCAGAAGGAACGCGAGTCGGCGGTCGAGTATTTCAGGAGTAAACGCGGCAAGGAGATGGCGCGCGAGATAGCCAAGAAGGTGAAGGCACAAACGGCGGGCACGTCTGCGGAGAAGCCTCTCACTTCTGCCGAGGAACGCAAAAAGATTCGCGAGGCTATCACGAACGCGTCCTCCTTGGAAGAGGTGCAAAGGCTCAGCAAATTGTTACAGGCCGGCCATATACCGGGTGAAGAACGATTACAGAACGGTACGTACAGCATCACTCGGTAGCGCGAGTGAAAACACATGATAGCTTAAGCGGGGTCTACAATGAGAATTTGAGCTCTAAGCCTTAAGAAGTTAACCAATCACAATTGATTATTCTTCTATAATTCGATTGGTTAATTTCTTAAGGTTCAAGGCTTAAAGCATCTATTGTAGACTAGGTCTTATAGACCCAATGCAATTTATCGTATGTGTTTGTATTTTAGGAAACGGAGCATTGGAAGCTATGGAGGAGGACGATGATTAACTCGCCTTACTTTCTGTACGTTTATAGCTTAAGTCTGAAACAAACTTCCCCCCTCCCCTGTTGTAAGTATATAAATTGAAGAGAGAGAGAGAGAGAGCAATGAAAGTATGAGGTGTAAGGCTAATAAGAAGCTGTATACTACACACACACATATATATATATACATGCATATATATATATATATATATATATATATTGTCGCTGCAAGTGCAGATATTCATTTTGTCATAAGAAAAAACAGAAATAAAAATGATAGTATTAACAGTGTAGCCACGAAGCGATTCTCGATATTACTCCTCGATATTACGTGTGAACGCAATTTTTAATATACTCATATGTTTATTTCAGCAAAGTCCGAATAAACAGATTCGTTTCGAGAAGAATTTCGCCTTTTCACAACCAAAATCACCTCCTTGTCCCTCCTAATGTGAAGTTAAGTATCAAATCTCGTATGATTCTTTCATTTATAACATATCAATATAATTTGTGCGCATTGCTTTGTATTTTACTGCATGTATGATCAGACTGCATAACTATAGATATTTTCGTTGGTGGTCTCTTTAAATGAGGAATCGCGCGTTTGAGCTGATTAAATAAAATATACTGTTTGTAAATTTTCATTCGTTCATAAGCAACAATCTATATATTAAATAATTACAGTCGCGCTGTATAATCCTATATAGATATTCGAGCGTTACGAACATTATGTAAGTTAGGTCAGCAGATGTCAGTGCGATACATATCGCCGTGGAGTAGAGGTTTGCTTACGATTATTCGCTGGAATATAATCTCCGAAAAGAATGGGTAATTATATCGCCACTTATATCACCAAACCCGACGTGATGCCCGTTCCCGAGGGACCACCGACGTTCGACCCGATGTTGGGATTTCCAACTGGCCGAAAACCCAGGGGCAAGTATCGAGAAACGAAACTAACCTCTTCCGTGCACGAATTTCGACCGCGAGGCCTTTGTTACTCTTGACCGAACGTGAATCTGAAATCGATCGTTCGCCCAAAAATGCGTCCGTATTATATTTTTCACTTCTTTACATTGTCATCGCGTCGCTTCAAATATTCTTGTCGCAGATGTGTGACATAATTTTGGGATTGACAACCTGTTCAGTATATAGTTATATTATGCTTTATAATTTGTATCGTGTTTGTTGATAACATATAAATAAAATGTGGTATGGTAAGTATATATTAAATATTAGATACATTTGACGTGTTGATAAATTTACTGCAAATATAGTGAGCTAAGTATGTCAGCGTTACTATTTTTGAATGATCATTGATACATAGAAAGTAAGCTTTTCAAAATCTATCGTAATTGCTTTGTAGTCGGAACAAGTCACATTCAATTGATAAAATCATTAACTATCTTACTCATTCCTATTGCGATATAATATTTCGTTGATTTCTATATTAATTGAAAATCAGTAAATGATATTGTTATCCTGTCACATTTGCTCATTCGTGGAGTTGACAGCAATATATAGCAATAGTATATATATATGATACAAATACTAACTGTTTAATTTTATTCAGATTTTGGAGTATATCTACATTTGGTTTATCCCTGCTTAGTTTGACAAATTTACAGAGATGTTGGTGTCAGAAGAAGACATGATAGCTGCGAAGATCCCACGCGATAGACGTGATTACTGTGCTCACAAGTATATGGATCTTCTACAGTGTCACAGAATACATTACCCTGTCATGTTGAAGTGTGCATATGAGAAACACGAATATTCACGTTGTCGGGCTAACGAGTAAGTTATCGTACTATTTTGATTAATTGACAATTGTCTTTTTACTATTAATAACTACAGAGATATATTGATAAATATTATATATATTTCTATATATTTCATATATTTTTTCTGTGTATTCTATATATTCCATATTGTATATATCGTGTTTGATAAATGTACATGGGAAAAAATTAGTCTTAAATCAATGATAGATATTCTCACATAAAAGAATATCATAATCTCAGAAGATTTTTAGTCTTAATTTGATTGAATTTATATTGATACAAGTATTACTCGCATTCAATTTATAATTAAAAATCTTCTACGAATATTATATATGTTCTTGCTTATGTGAGAATATCTATCGTTGATTTAAGATTACTTCTTTTCTTTCTATACTGATAAATGTTGTACTGTTGTTACAGTACGATCTTAAGACTGAAGGAGTACGAAAGGGAACGTCGTCTGCTTGAGAGAAGGAAGAGGATACAACAGAAACAAGCAGCCGCTGCTTAAAAGACGACTTCTATAGAATTTCAATAAATCGGTTTTTGTCGTGTCAACTTAGGGTGTTATAAGTAAAAATGGAGTAATTGCTCTAGTGTTGTATATTCACACACACACATATATATATATATATGATATTAATAAATTGTATAGCAATAGATTTTCTATTTGATGAAGCAATTGATAACGAAATTTCAAGCAGATTTGGGTCTTTCCTGGATAGCACACTATATTTATAAAATATTTAGAAAGATATTAAATGTAATATTATATAAATTTTCAGATAACTGGGAAAATCAGGTAAGACTATGATAAATATTAAAAAATATTTATGAGGAATATCTTTCGTAAATGAAAGAAATAATTTCACTTAAAGAAAGACATGTTTTAATTATTTATAAAAAATACCTATCATAAATCTTTTTGAGTATCTATCACAATCTCTTTTATATCTGACTTTCCCGGACACTCGGATATTTATAAAATATTTAACATCTTATATTCTTTTTATATTCCACAAATATCGTGCGCTATTTGAGTTCTATTCTCCTCCTCGTCAGTCTCTTTCCCTCTTTCTTTTGGCATCTATATCTCGGGTTTCACGCAGAACATACGCGACACATTTGGCTTCCAAGCGTTTAATTTACAAATTTACTACACATTACAGGGTGAAACGTTGATCTTTCGCGCAACGGGAGTTCACGCGAGGTCGACGTGCTGTCCGCCTGAATCGTCCTCCTGCGAACGATCCTCCTTCACACGCACACGTTAAACCGGATGATTAGTTTCGCTTAATCTCAGCAGAGACCCCGAGAACGTAAGATCCATAACGTTAACGTTTTATTTATATCAATACAAAAGAAGAGATACAATATGTACAAAATGGGCGCACGCACGATCGTCGTGCGCCTCGCTTGTGGCGCTTGTGGTAATCCTAAGGTTGGAGGTAAAGAATAGCGTCCCCGGGCGGGACTGTCGCGCCCGGGGGCAATAACTTATCGTCGTTCACGACTGTTCAGATCCGCGCCAGCGGTCGCAAAAGAACCGGGCGCGACTCGGCCGCGTGCGACTCACCACCGCTCACGCACGCGGGATGCGCGCTCCCGCGCTCTTTACAGCTGCGCGCAGCTTCATCGGGGGAATCGATAAAGTTGAGAGCGCCGCGGACCTGCGACTCCGCGGCTCTTCTCCGACGGCATCGTCGTGTCGTGCTGTTCGTACCGGCTTCCCGTATTCGCGTGTGTTCGCGCCGCTCGTGTTCCACCTAGACCGTGAGGACGACCGCGTGATAGTACAGTGGTAGTGAATGAGACATCGTTTCTTCGTATTAAATCAAATAATCAATCCACCCCCCTCGTCTCTGATCGCGCGCGCGGGGAGGGAACAGTGAGCTTCGTGTCGGGACGCAGTCGAGACGATGTAACGCGATACAATCTAGTGCGGTAATCCGGGCGATCTCGACTCGCACCGTGGACGCTATAGTGGTTCACCGGGACCCAACGCTACCCGAGACAGTGCAGTGTCCGGGATACGTCTTGAGTGTCAGACTGACTCGAGTTTAGTGAACTTTGCTCCGTCTTAGTCCGATTTCATCCCGATCTCCATCCTAATCCGTAGTCTGATACGGGCTTTGGGTCCGTGTCAGACTACGGATTGAGGATTACAGCCGGACCAATCGGGTGATCTCGAATCTTACTTCTGATTTATCCTGATTGGTCTGATACGGGACTCGAGCGGTTGCGCCCAAACTCCGGCTAAGCTAAGCGACGGTTCACTCATACCGGTTGAAATTTTCTGTTGCAGAAGAAGTCGAGAATGAGGAAGGGGTTGGAGATTGCAACCTCGTAAATAATCGTTGCTTGTTAGCTAGGAGACGTTCAGGACAAGGATGTCTTTCGGGCGTCTCTGAGACATCCCCGGGACGTCTGCGCGATCCGGTACTAAGCCTTGCTCAGCGGGATTTAAGCGCGTCGTTCTCACACAGGTGCGCGATCTCTATATATCCCGCCGCTTTTCCTCCATATCCGGCGTGAGCCACGGGTTTCTCGTGATTCGTACCGCACTGCGGTATGTCGTTTCTCGGTGATCGGCGAGAAAACACGAGAGAGACCTTCTGTTCGATTTCTCACACGAAAGCCGAGAGATCTGATAGTACGTTCGCACGAATGTCATTTCTGTAAAATATTCGCCGGCAATGTTATCGAAGGTGAATATTCTCGTAAATGAGAAGGTCGTATGTTAGTACGCTAATCAAACACTCTTAGTGTTTCGCCGGGACTGGATACAATCCCAAAGAGAGAGAGAGAGTGTGTGTGTGTGTGTGTCAGAAGAAGAGAGAGAGAGAAAGAGAGAAGTGTGAGAGTAATGAGTTGATTTAGTTACTTCATATATTTACAACGATTGTACTTGACGAGAAATCGGCGAGGTGTCGAACAGTTCTTACGAGATGATTCGACCGAGTTAAATTAGTCACGATAATTCGATACAATACGACAATTCCGAGCTTCTGGCCCGCGATCGTTCTCAACATGCAAACCCGTGACCCCCGATTGTGCATGTAGATTATTGCGCGCTAAATACACGCGGCACGCCGGCAAAACGAACGCACGAATTTACTAGCGCAGGACTTCGAAGGAAGAAGAAGAAGAAGAGGAGGAGGAAAAGGCGGAGGAATAAGATAAAGACCCGCAATACAGATTTCCTTTTTACTGGCCGATGTAACTTTCGAAGCGCGTTCCCCCCCCNCCCCCCTTGTTTCTCTCATCTCCTCCGTGTTTATCGATTATCAAAAACCGCGAAACGCCACGAAGCGGAAACTCGTTCGTCGCTACTTTTTATTGGATCGGCCGCCGGTTACGCGCCGTCGAGTGTCTGAACGGTCGGAAAACCGATTCACGGGCGAAGCGGAAGAAGAAAGTGGGACGATGTATGGCGACGTTCGGAAAAATCGGACGGGCGGACCGGAAACTGCCCGGGGTGTTCACGTGATCTGATAATCCCTCCTCCCCCCGGACGATACGAGGGGGATTCTGTTGAATAACAACGATCTTCTCTGACGGTCGGCGCCAGTGAAAACGTTTGACCTCGATCTCCGTGATTGGAAATTCTAACGCGTTCTCTCGTGTAACGAGAGCCCGTGCGATTTACATCTGCGGGAGCGATCGAAATCACCACCACCTATCATCGCGGAACGCGATATATAATTTACCGCGTGTATCCCCTTTTTCTTGCATCATCGCTTTCGCGCCGTGTAGCAGCGCACGTTTCCCCCGGATCGGATGAGAGGAGGAAAGAGGTACGACACGCAGATTAACCTATTAACCGACTGACTCTTCTGCTTCCTTTNCCCCCCCCCCCCGGCGCCGTTGAAATTTCGCATCTCGCAACTCTCGACCTTTCAGCAATGGAGGGATTCTATCGGGTCAGTAAGAAAGTTCGATTCGACTCTCTTGAGCCGAACTTTTGCACTCTACGGAAGCGAGTTGCTCTACCGAATATATACTCTCTCCGTTATTGCCTCTACTCTTCAAATTTATGAAACTTTTCTCTAACGCACTAAGGCCTCATTTTTTTAATATACGCTTTTTCCCAAGCAGAGCAAAAGGTCGTGTGCAAATCAAGGTGACATCAAGATGACGTTAAAAGTACTCATTATATAGGAAATCAAAGTGTGTCATTCAATACTTTAAATAGGATAATAATTTGACCGTTTCGTGATTGCATTATGACTTCTTAATGCCTTTCTTGTTTACGGGACATTGTAGAATGCCCTTAGATCCGCTCAGCTGTTTATATTTCCTCTAAAACTGCATTTCGATATTCACTGTCAGCATCGAAAATCTATAGTTCATGTTACGTGTACTGTAGATTTTCACTGATAGCATTGACAATATCGGAATGCAGCCTGGAAAATACGTATCGTAAGAAAGTTTTAATTGTTGTATTTAGTAACTTTAATTTGTAATTTTAGCTATATATAAGCAAAATTGTAATTACGATAAACAGAATATTGTTTGCATGAACAATTTTGTACGTAGCTACTGACATTTGCAATTTAAATATATTGAACAAACAGCTTAATCGGAGAGGATTAAATCTGCAAATCCCAAAGTCGTAATTTAAAGTATAAATTTTCTGTCATGATCAAAGATGACCTCTGGAAGTTATATCACTGTCGTTTTTCACGTTATTATGACGTTATCGTGACTTCTTATTCTGCTTGGGTTCAACACGCGTCAAACGTGCCTGCTGGATTCCAAGCGCGGTTTCTCTTAAGCGGGGCCTACAATGAGAATTTAAGCTCTCAGCCTCACCGAAGCTGACCAATTACGGTCGAATGTGAGGAGAATAATCGACTGCGATTGGTAAATTTTTCAAGGCTTAGAGCTTAAAATTCTCATTGTAGGCCCCGCTTTACGCGAGGGTCGCGCGCGTGATATTTCTTCAGCTTAAGAATCAGAAAATCATACCTCGCATTGCGTGTATATCCAGGAGAAGCGGAACAATTCTCGGCACTGTTGCCTGTATGACTACCCAGACAGTAATGTTCAAAATCAGGGAACATAAGACTTTATATATATATATATATAAATATATATATATATATATATTTACAACGATTCTACTTTACGGGGAATCAGCGAGGTGTTTTACGGCTCTCATGAGGGGATAATGCGAGCGAATTAGATTAGATACGATAATAATTCGATGCGATACGATAGTTTCGAGCTTCTCTGGCACGCGATCTCTTTCAATGTGCAAACCCGTGATTCCCGGATTGTGCGCTTGGATTGTCGCGCGCTAGATACACGCCAGCAAGACGAACGCGTGGAAATTTATAAGCGCAGGATTCCGAAAGAAGAAGGAGAATGGAGAGAAGGCGGAGGGAAAAAAAAAGAGCCACGATACAGGTTTCTTTCCTACTGGCCGGTGTAACTTTCAAAGCGCGCGTATCCGTTTCTCCTTGTTCCTGCTCTCGTCTTCTCTCGTGTTGGTCGATCATTAAAAACTACCGGGCGCTACGATGCGGAAACCCGTTCCTCACTGCTTTGTGTGTTTTATCTGACTTAATTGCTCGTCAGTTACACGTGCATCGAGCGTCTGTTTAAACGGTCGGAGAACCGATTCGCGGGCGAAGCGGAAGATGAAAGTGGGACGGCGCGGGGCGACGTTCGGGAAAATCGGACGAGCTTCAGACCAATCGGTGAGAAGTTGGAGATGGCTGGACTCTTACTTGAAGGACTCTATTCAGTACAGTGCAATATCCAAAATCGGGACATAAAGCGCCTCTTGGGATGTCTTACAGACGTCTGTAAGTAAAATTTTGAGAGACATGAGAATCTGGTCATCTCCTCAACTTCTTACCGATTGGTCTGATTTCTTATTTGATCAAAAATGGCGGAACTGAAAATTGTTAAATAAATAGACTCTCCATTCCCAACTGAACGTTATTCTAAGATGGAAGATGAATGATAATAAAATAATGGAAAAACCCGTTTTTTGAGAAATTAAAAAATCTACTTTTATAAATAATATTACGCATAATCAGGCAAACGACGTGCACATATTGTCAAAGAAATATACCTGAACTCGATATATTGTAGATACCCTTCATAGATAAAGAACATTCTAGCGACGAACCAGACGCCATGTTTGATCAAAGAGTCAAAATTGGCCGGACTCTTACTTGAGGAACTCCATGTATGATACGCGTGCGGCGGTGTCATCTATCGACGATGAAAAACCGAACTTTTCGACCGACTCGATATATTATACCGACGAACGAATTGCGAGCGATGTGGCATTGTGAATATTTTTACTTTTCCCGCTATCGAATGAAATAATCCCGGCGCCGAAAGATCAAGGCGCTTCTCTGTCGCGCGTGGTCGAAAAATCTTGTCCTGCGGCCACCTTCTCTCGCACTTCGCGCCTTCGCGAATGTCGCAACGGTCGTTCGTCCGTTGATCGAATACGCGACTTTCGCGACAGCTCGGTGAATTTCTCGCTCTCCCGGCCGCCGATGTACATTAAAACAGTCGCATCATTGGTATGCAAAAATGGAGCCGCATCCGGGGCGAGTACGCGGCTCGCTGTATACGCCTGTCTTCGATCAGGCGTAATCGGGACGAAGGTGTCCTCCTTCCAACATCCTCTCCTCCGCGCGCTTATTCGTCCTTGAGCACCTTCGTGGTCATTCTCTTACGATAAGCGCGCTGATAGAAGTCGGAGAAGAGCACGAAGAAAATTGTCGAGTGGAGCAGAAGAAGGCCCGCCACCAGCTTCGGGTAACCGCAGTCGAAGATGAGAGCCTGGGCGCTGTGCACGAACACCAGGAAAAACTGCATCTGAAAACGCAACGGCAACGTTACCAGCCAAGAATTCGCGGGAATTCGCGAGTGGTGAGTGAAAAGCGTACACGTATCGACTGCTAAAAGTGTGTCCCGAAAGTCTCGGCCGTTCGGGAGAGGGCGCAAGATACCTCGCATGGCAGCTCGCACAGGAGTCTTTCCAGCACTCAGCCAAAAAGCGCGACGTTGAATTAAAATTGACGTCGAAACGCGATCACTACTTGTTCAGTTGAACGGAAGCCGATTTTACACTATATCGACCTGTGTGATTTTTAATATTTCGTAGCTTATGTCATTGATTTAAACTGACTGTTATTGTTATTCTTGATCGTTAGTATCAGTCGATGATAAAGTAATTATGATATCAATGATAAATACTGGAAAATTTTCGATAATATTGAATGGACATCGATGAAACTTTTTTTACTTTATCCACATTTGTTCTTATCTTAAGTTGGTACATGGCAAAGCGCAAGCGGAAAGTCTTTTATTTTTATCCTGAGGATAAAAGTAAGGAATTTTGATTTGTACATTTCTTTACGCGTTGTGCGTTATACGTAAATTTACGCTCATCGCTCACGAGCAGTAAAGCTAATTGATTAATTATGTTCGAAAACTTATGGAGAATGTGAAGCCTATAGAAATACATTTTCTATCTTCCAATTCCAGTTGCAAATTATGTTGCGAAAGTAGGTTTTTAGCCTGCAGAGCAAATCCTTAGTTCTTTTGAAACGCCATTAATTGATTCGACGTTGAAACGATGTTGAAATCGTGGCCGAAGACATTTACTCGTATATTTATACGTCTTCGATGTCGAATTTAAATTTCGATATTGGGATTTTGACGTGTATTCATACATTTGTATGTATGTCCAATAAACTATACGTTTCTGACTGGGCATAGAAATTTTCCTAGATTTTTTTACATATACACAATCGGCAGATCGAAGGTTGCAACATTTTTCTTTTTCAATAAGCTTAGCAATAGCTTCGAACACCAAATAGAACATGTCATTAATGCTATCCCATGTCTTGATACAGCGACACCGAAAATCTCCAATCAGAAGCATTGTTTGTGCATCGCGACTATTGATAATTTGATGAATTGGCGACGATTCTCCAGAGTAGCAGTCGTGACGCGCAAATATTAAAAGATAACGCGCCCAATCTCCAAAAAAGGAAGATTTTTAACGTTATTGATATTATAGTAACACTCACTAGAAAAATGATTCTCTCGACTAGAATTCTTTCACTATGATGATCACAGTTACAAATACTTTTCTCTCAATGTAATCAGCACTTAGATTTCCCGAGTAGAATTCATAATTATTTCGGGCAATCGGGTCGGATCCCAATTAGGTGCCGAGAAATTGTCTACGCGGGATCTCGCGTCTTTCCTTTTCGACGCGAAGAAAGATCAATCCCGTGGTGAATGAACACGACGCCGGCGGCGGCGAGCACGTGAGAGCGTGTCCTCCAACGGACAACCGGTTCGTCTCGAATTGCGCCCCTGAGGATTCGTGCGATTCAAGATAGGGGAGTTCCATTCAATGGGACGAGCTGTCACATAAATGTCAGGTAAACTGCCGATCGACTTGTAGAAAGTACAAGTTGGTATATGGCCGAGTTCTTTTTCCTCTGTACCAATCGCCACGACTATATTAAGCACCGCGCGCGTGATTTGCGAAAATCTGCGTATCGATCCCGGCGCGCTTTTAACGCACGAATACGCGTTGCTGGCAGACATTTTAATCCAATTCGTAGCCGCTCGAAATCTGCGAAATCGGACACGTCGCTGAACGATCGTATTTCGCGTGTGAACGTGGACGCTTCTCTAACGATGAGACCGTTTCACGAGTATTAAAAGAATTATCGTTCGTCTCTACTTAGTTTTTTATTCTGATATCAATATTATTTGTAATTTATTTTTCAATATAACGTCGATTGGATATCCCCATCTTGTATTCTCATAGATATTGGGTCTACTTTTCTCACCAAAGAGTGCTCTCTTTCCCGTGAATAAACATTATTATTGTCATCGAATATATAAGTAATGAAGTGTCATTATTCAATTAATTAAACTACGCATGAAACTAACGTGCTACGGATCTTGTGTTTCTAATGACAAAATCTTTTTCTCTCTCTCTCTCTCTATCTATCTATCTATTTCTATCCATCTCTCTTTTTCTATTTTTCTCCGATCACAACGCTAAATTAACACGTGCAATTGTAACTCATCTCATACGTGGAGACTCACTAAAGCTAAAGTCGAGACCTCGTAATTTCTATTCTCTTCTCCTCTCCCCTTCTCAAGTGTCAAACCACTCTTACTTCCGATTTACCAAGTCGGTAAGCCGTGTGAAATAATTCATAAATCCGACATTGACAAATACAATCGCGCGCATCTACGAAATATCTGCCGCTTGTTTCGGCGTCGGGTCTCGTTTGGCGATCGAAAGTAACTTTCGTTTCATATTTCTCCTCTTTCTCTTCGTTACCGGCGTTGTATCTTCGCGTCACCGTTTTTGTCGCGCGAACCCCCGAGGAGAACGCGGGGCGCGTCTCGCCATCGAGAGCGAACAAACCAGCGAGTGGACAAAAGCGAGTCACCGCCGCTTGTTCTATACACCTGTCTCGCCGGAGCGTGCATACATAGGTGCATGTAACGAATCAATGGGTCTTGCGAGATTAACTGGGATAGGTAAGCACATATAGGTGAGGCTGGGCAGGTATGCGGCCGGCACGCCGATACTTTACGACGCCGGTTGCAACGCCGACGAGGACGACGGTGGTGGTGATGATTGTGGCGTTAATGGTGATGATGACGGTTTTGGTGGGGTGGTGCACACTGTGCTGGCACTATATGGCACAGCGGAATGCCAAATTGTTGCGCCACCGCTAACGTGGCCGGCCAAGTCCGGCCGGCTAAAGCGAGTCAGCCGAGAATTGCCCAACGTTGTACTTTTCACTTTCCCTCACCCCTACCATGCGCTTGACGCATGAAATTTTGCCTAGGTAGAGAGACCGAAACCGACCGATCTGACGAGGTACCAACAATGGCCCAGAATTCGTGGGCGATCGCGAGTCCGTTCTTGCGAGCGCGACGGGGTGACCGCGCGGCCAAGTCGGCACGGACACAGTTGGTTCTCGTGCACTCTCCCTTTTCCAAGTGGACAGTCGATATCGGCGATATCCGTAGGCGCGGATATGCGAGTTTGTCCCGCCGATTTTTCGACGCCTCGCGGAAGGACTCGAAATTCATTCCTGCCGTCGCTTCGCGACTTCCATGTCGGCTGTAGCGAATATTTACATACAGGGGAGAAAGCGTCAGATGTTATTTTGCTTTTAAGCTCTAAAACTCCGTCGAAGGTGTGGAGTTGAGATTTATGCGCATGGACGCGAAGCGGCGACCTTTCCTTCGCCAAAGTATATCGTGGTTTGTTTTTTTTTGAAAATCGTCACACGTCTTGCGAGTAACTACTTTTTGAGAAGTTTGGGAAATCACGCCTCGAGAAGGCAGATCCCGAAACCGAGATTATCCATCGTGATATCTATCGGGAGATTGTTGAAAAGTGAGATAAAATATCGCTGAATTCACATCATTTCGTATATTTATTGTATGTGTCTTTACGTGAAAGAAAATGTAGTACATCGTAGAAAAATCGATTGACTTTAATGTAACATGACCAGACGCGCAGATAGAAACTGCCACTTCAGCCCCACCTACTGCACGCAGCAGACGAAGTTCATGTATTGTTCAACAGAGTTAAATACCTTATGGCCGAGAAACATGGGTATACGTGAACTTTCCGTACGTACGTCAGTTTTTCGTGCTTTTTCTGTGATTTTTTTTTGTTCTCAAACGGAAGAGTCGGCCGACGGAATTCGATTTCTCTAACGAGACATTCGTTACATTAACTGGGTTAACAACTGAGTTTTTAACGCTCTATTTCTCTCTGACTTGCAATTTAGATGTCGCGTTTTCCAGTTGCGAAACTCATAGGAGCGAATGATATTTTCGCAAACTCATCGCGCGCGCTTTGTAGGTCACAATGTAACATACAATGGTGAGAAGCTCGCGATCGATCTAAAATCACCGCGGACATGTGGTGTAATGAGAAATGGTAATGCCTGGTGGCGAAACCCGCTTGAGAAAGACTAGGCTGTAAAACGTGGCGTACAAAGAGAGGGAGGGAAAGAGAGAGAGAGAGAGAGAGAGAGAGAAAGAGAGAAAGAAAGGGAAAAAATTCCGGCGACTAACGAAATAGACTTTTGTGTACACTCGCGCGGACTTCGGCGCAAAACGGGTATCGATATTAGAAAATTGCTCGGATTGTTTTATTTCCCACTTATGTCCGCTATGGCGTCAATACACGTGCTTAAAAACACTCCGTCGTGTTTCGCGTAATCGCGTACCACCTATTTCATTCCCGTCTCGGAGGAATCATTAATCTTAACGTCGCGTTTCGGAAAAGAGGGCACGTGTTGCATTAACGGGAGAAGGAAGGAGGGTTGGAGGGAGAGGAAGGAAGAAGGAATACGTCATAGGCCTCAATAGGCAATTAGCATATCTCACATGCGCTACCGATGTGCACCCTTCAAACCGCGCGCAGTGGGTCAATAATGTCTACCCGTTCACTTTCATCGACACGGGATTACTATCCGCTCGGCGTGAAACTCGCCAAGTTGTGCAAGAAGAAGGTATCACGAATCGGTCTGATCCGCATGCACGAAAAAATTGCACGCGCCGCGCTACCGAACGGTACCTCGAAAATACGGCCGGATCACGTGTCGTATTTTTGCACGGCTACGTTGCGTTTCGGGCCACATGCGCTTGTTCCCGCGCAAGCGGAATACAATGAAACGGCGGGAGCGGGTATCGTGACGCGCGAAGTCAAATTGGGTCAAACACTGCGCAGTGAGATTTGGAGCGGAGGCTTTGTTTCTTCTTTTTCTTTTTTTTTTTTACGAGAATTTTTCTCGCAATTTACATCAAATATGCTCCGGTTTGGGTGCATGTACACATGGAAAAGGAATCTCTCTCGGTTTCTGCAACTGAACGGGGACTAGACGAAGACTCGGTGATAAGAAATGATGTCTCTGTTGTCGCGACAGGGGATATTCGTGTTCAGCTGCGTTAAAATTCAGCCGAGATAACTGACTGAGTAGAAACCTTCTACAGGATCCTTTCCTTCTGTCCCCGAATTTTCGTCTAGTCCCCAGATAATAGAAAATTCACTTACGTTAATGAAATTGTTTCTTCTGTGTATGTAAAAATCGCAATTATATATATATATATATAATAATAATAATAATCATCATATATAATAATAATATAATAATATTATATAATTATAATATTATATATAATACAATAATATAATATAATAATATTATAACAATAATATTATATTATATATAATATAATTATATATAATATATAAATATATATAGCTAACTTAGGAAAGAAAGTAATTTGATCGGAGCCGCCTACTCACCAGTTGCAACGTGGTCAAATGCTTCTTCCACCACAAATATTTCTGATATTCCGGGCCCATGGCCGCTAACATGTAGTACGCGTACATGACCACGTGTACCGCGTTGTTTATAAGGTTGCCGAGGGTGCCGTGGCCGCCCGGGATGAATTTTACGCAGATCCACGTTTCCAGCGGTGTCAGCGAGTGATGGTATAGGTGCAGGAATGTCACCTGGCTCTCTTTCTTACGTAACACAAAGAACATCTGAAATTTCGACGAGTAATCGTGTCACAGCGTATTCTCCGAGATCTCGTAACTTCCTGTCGCTTAGTTCGGACTTGCGAACGACGACTTGCGATTTGCATAGTAGCGGATACACCTCGCCTACACCGCGACCTTTAGGTCAATCGAGCGGCTTTAAATCGGCGACAATGTTAATTGGGCGCGGCAAGGAGGGTTTATTCATGGTGACTTGACGAATTCTTCGCGAAAAAAGAAAGAAAATAAAGAAATGTTGAGGTTGTTAACATCCGAGGTGTCGTCATTCTTCTATTAGCCTTCGAATTTTCAAAGGAGATGAATAATACCGCGATAACTGCCGATTCATTATCGAAGACTCGAGAGAGCTTTGCAACACTTCGATAACGTTTACACGGAAAAGAGAATTAGTATCAATTCAAGATTCATATTCGTTTCATTTCATATTTTTGTATACATATAAGCAAGAATATATAATCTTATATGAAGATAAATCNATATATATATATATATATATATATTCATGAAGAATTTCTAAATATAGTTTCACTAAAAGTATCATATCTTTGTTATTCAAGAATAATTTTTATGAACTGGGAGGAAAAAATTTTGGATAAAAAGGACGATATCTTCAAATAGATACAATTCTTAATTTGAAGATATTGTTCTTTCCATCGAGTATTTTCTCTTCTCAGTTCGTGAAAATTATTTTTGAATCACATAAATGTATTTCTAGTGAAACTCTAGGACTGGAATATTTCTTCATGTAAAAGCGAGTTTCATCTTCACATAAGATCATATGTTCTTGCTTACATACGAGAATATGAGTTTCCAACTGATACTAATTTGTTCTGTACACGTTCGTCAACGAAACGACGAAATCACTTTCATCCTTTCCGATGCAATCGCCACCGTCGAAATTGAGCAACAAAAACGACGATTCCGACGTTTCGCCAAATTTCGCATGAGCACGCTGTTGAAAGAGCCTATTGTAGAGAGACGCTTTCACCCTTCGCGAGGGGGATAGGTGAGCGCGCGTCCACTTCACGAGACGTTGGCTGTTTCGACTCGGCTGGCGAATGAGCGCGGCGATCGGTCGATTAAATTTTATCTGCTTCTTTAATCCGACCGGAGCACGATTGCGTGCTCGATGGCGATTCGGTGGTAGTGCCCGCGCGTGCTAATGGGATCGATTGCTTAAGGGTTATTACGCCGCGGGAAGGGATACGAACATTTGTACGCGATTATCCGCCTCTCACAAAGTCGCCAGCTGTTTGTCTCGCGTCTTTTTTTCTTGTCTTTCTCATTCGTTTCTCGTTACCTATCGGTCTGGATGTTAGGTGCGTGCGGTGTTTCCGGTGAACACACGAAAGCGTTCGGTGAATCTGGCTGGGGACTTTTATATCTCGAGACGTCTCGCGGATAGAAATGTACCTCATTCATTTGAGAATAAATGTAATGAATGAATAATGTAAATAAGATTACGGAAGCGTTGACGCAGAGGAATAATGTAGCTCGGTCGTCCTCGGTTCGACTATTAAAAATGAGATCGACCGAAAGAAATCCGGTTGACGTCGAGCTGATTTCATATTCCGCATAAACAGTTCCGCATAAACGACGCGTTTCCAAAACCTAACGTTGTTTCCCACTTTCCTCTCTTATTTTCGTAACACCGTTGTGCAAGAGATCGAACAGAAATTGCTCCTCGGGATGAGATAACGATCTTGATACAATGCCTTTAATTGTGGTTATTAGTTGAAGTGTTTATAGTATAACGTTTCTTTCGCCTTATTTATCATTTCTCGTACGTTTTAATATCGTGGTGTAATATCTCGTATCGTTAGTACACATTTTTAATTTGGCGCCCCTTCCGACAATGACTTCGTACACAGAAAAAAATTAGTGTCGATGCAAGATTCACTTATTCCTACATATAAGCAAAAATATATAATTTTATATGAAAGTAAAACTTGTTTATGCACGTATTATATATTATTAATAGTATCATTTTATTGTTATACAAAAATAATTGTTATGAATTGAGAGGAAAAAATGTTGAAGAGAAAGAATATCTTCGAACTGATACAATTCTTAGTTTGAAAATATCGTTCTTTCTGCCGAACATTTTTCCTCTCAATTTATAAAAATTATTCTAGAATAACAAGAAAAATAATTTTTTAGTGGAATTATATATAGAAATTCTACTCGTGAATTATATCGCAACTATATAGAATTTTTTCGTGTGTGATCAAGTTTTATTCTCATATATAAGATTATATATTTTTGCTTATACATGAGAATGCGAGGCTTGAATTGATACTAATTTGTTTTCGGTGTATGTTTCATGCTCTGATTGTGTCCCGCGAATTACGAACGTGGCGAGTAATTTATGAAAATGAGCCATACCGTATCAGCGAATTCCGTGAATTTACTGATGAAATACCACCAGCACAGATTCGCCATCCTGACAGCGGATGGATTGTGAGAGTAGTCGACCGGTTGACACTTGTAGCTGTAATCCAACAGCCATCCGGACATTAAATGCTGGAAAAAAAAATAAAAGACACATTCGGATATCATAAGGATACAGGAGAAATGAGACACGCAGGAGACGAAGATACCGAGATGATAAACGATGATAAACCTCAGCCTCAGCCTTGTGAAAATGAACTTCAGTCGCTTATGCAATAATTCTAAATTCAGATATTTTCATCATGGAATTTCTAATTCCGATAAGTGTCTAAGATTATTACGAGCCGATGAAAGCCGATTTTACAACGATCGCGTGATACATACATATCAAGCCAACAACGATAGTTGAGCAGGTTTCGTCAAGCAAGTATTTTTCATCGCCTCATTAATCGTACTTGATGACGCGTTTAATACATAATTTTCCTCGCCTCTCCTACGTAGAGGACAGCCGTCATAATTGCGCACTTTGAATATATACATATACATATATATAAAAAAAAAGAAAGATAGAAATGCACCGAAAGCATCCAGCAACTGGTAGAAAATTGTCTTAAGAATCTGTTCCATTTTATTTCTGCAAAAAGCCCGGTCGGCCGACTCTCTAACAGAAATCGACGGAGAACTGCGGTTGGTCGCCGCGCGTCTGCGGACGTTAACTTTCGCGTTCGCGTAGCGAGATGCAACCGTTCATTATTCATTCCATTGCGCGTGAAAATTCGTTTCTCATTTGACCTCCCGCGCGATATCCCGCTCTATTATATCGATCTCATGTGCGCCGTGACCAAACGTAAATAAACGAGGCTTGGCATTTTCGTGGAAAGTCGAAAATAGGGTGTCTCGAGAGCGTTGCTAAACGCGCGCGCGAGCTCGCAGTCCGATTGGGTAATAACTAGCGAGTTTCAACTTTGGCAATACTACAGTCTTCATATTTCCTGCGATTATGTTTCATTGCCTGTTCGCGCGCGATACCCTGACTGACCAATCTGGTCGATTGGTCATTATTAGCAAACGACTGTCGGCACCGTGTTGCACCAACGCGTCGTTGTTTTTCGAATGAAAAACTGCTACTTATGTTGCACCGTTGCAATTTCGCAAATCGATCTCGCGTGTGTGTGTGTGCGCGCGTGCGTATATATATATTTTACTCAGCATCGTTCGAGACATTCTAAGCCTCGCTTCGCGACGGCTGCGAGTAGGTCAAGGCTATGAAGCGAGACCGTACATCTGTCGTAGAGAAGCAAACATGTGTAATCGGCTAGTTTTGCCAATTTACATTTCACGGGGACTTCACCGCGATCCATCTTGCGGTCCTCATCGCTCCTATTTATACCGTGATACCGGCGTTTGGAGACACTGACACCCTCGGAATGCTTATTTGGACAGCCAGGCGTCAGCCTGACGTCACACAGGCGGGTATCTAATGGGAAAATTTCGTTGTGCAATTACTTACGTCACGTGTCACCGCCTAAAGATCCGGAATTATGGAAAATCTGCGAGACTCAAGCTCACCGAGTACCGAATTATCGACAAATTATAGCCCGCGCGCGCAGTAAGGGCGGCGGTATTGCGAAGAAATTTCGATTCTTGCGCTGTTGCGTTTCAGTTCTTGCAATTAAGTAGTTTACCGCTCGGGTTCGCGACAAGGAAACTCGTTCGAAACTTTACGTCGAAATTTTACGTTCGAATTCACGAGCAGATCTAATGTGCTCGCTCCGATCGATTCGCGGCCCCTCCCGACACGCCGCCTCCCGACCGGCATTTCCATCGACTTTTCATTTTTATCAACGGGCACGATGATTTGCACAGCACGGTGCAAGTGGCCCGAGACACGCGAATCTACGTTGATAATCCAGAAACTGTCATGGCGACTCGCGGCGAATCTTACTCAATGCCTGTGCTAACCTTTGCCATTTTGGCAAAGAGGCCTTCGAAAGATTAATAAAGGAGGAATGAAAATGTCACGCCGGATTAAAGCAACGCGCGCGAATATACACCTCTTTTTTCACTTTCTATTATCGATCGTCGAATTTTGATCGTGTGGTTTTGCATCGAAACGATCACGCGCTCGTTTACTCGTTGACTCATCGATGACAAAGTATTTAAGGCATCTGGTCTATAAATTTATCGGTCTATAAATTAATCTTCTTAGGAATTTTTCCAAATTTTGACAAATTTTGAATATTGATCGAGACTCGATCCAAACGTATGTAAATTCAGCAAAATACCGACCGTCCCAAAGCTGAGATAATAAAAGTCAAATTGTCTACGTATGTCACAGGTTCGAAAACGACCCTCGACATTTACGCTTTGAATTCTAGCAGCAAGATTACTCTTACAGTTTTTACTCTTACGTTCGACTTTATATTCCATTGCAACAGTATCAAAACTGTACATCACGAATCATGTTTACAATCATTCAGCACAGATTTGTCAAGTTCCTTCATATTGTGTCAAACATCGTCTTTCTAACGGTAATGTCACGGATTAACTGTCTTAAACCATTCAGGCGATTCGCTAATAAACTGACAAGATCGGCTTCGGCCGCTCACGCAAGTCTTATTGACCGATTCATTAATGGTAAATCGCGAAGAACGAAGGGGAAAAAAACGCGAGCGCGTTTAATCACCGATATTTAAAGAAATCGAATTGTATCTTTAGCGAAGCGGCATTAAAATAGCGATATATAAAGCGGTATCCACAATGAGAATTTAGGACGCGAGATTTGACCTATAAGCCGTAAGAAACTGACCGATCACGGTCGAATGCGAGTAGAATAATCGATCGGGATTGGTTAATTTCTCGGCTTTAAGGCTTCAAGTTTAATTCTTCCACCTTAAGCGGCGTCTACAATGAAAATTTCAGGCGCAAGGCTTAAGCTTCATGCCTTAAGCCGTGAGAAATTGACATCCGATCACAGCCGAATGTGAGAAGAATAATCGATTGGTCAATTTCTCACGGCTTAAGATCCGAAGCTTGTGTTCCACGCTTGAAATTCTCGCTGTAGACGCCGCTTTAAGTTCTCATTGAGGACACCGCTTAAGGAAACTCAATTGTCCCGCGTAATGCCGAGCGTGATCACGCGAGAGCGGCCTAATTAAGCGGTGCCTTACGCTGAAAATGATTACTCGCATGATTAACGGCGTCGTAATAAGAAAATCCGCGGCAGCGGTAAGGGGGAGTTCTAGGCCGTGGTTTCCTCCTCGATCTTTGTCAATGATTACGCGATATATTCTATTCGTCTCCTTTCACCGTCACACTTTGTCGGCCGCGCTAATCTCGCGCGAACGAGAAGCGCGCGCTCGCTCGCTCGCTCTCTCGTCGTCTGCTTCGATACTTCGCGAAGACTTCTCCGTCGCGATCCGCTCCTTCTCAACTAGACGCGTTCACGGTACACTTGCATCGTGACCTATATCACTCACGAGGAAGAACCTGCTCGACCGCTTCGATCGTTCAACAAGTCCGTGTATCCCGGCGGATCGCCGTCGCGCGCTCGTGAACTTCGCGCCCCGTAGATTTTATTTTAACAGCGAATCTAATGACGTGGTTATAAGACGCGAAAGTCAAGGGTGACTCTCGGAAGGTCGTTGGAACTCTCGCGAGCGTGCGGATGCGCGCGCATACACACACCACGCACGTGCCACACTCTCTTTTCCTCTCTTCCTTTCTCCCAGCCATTTTCTCTCCCCTGCTCTTACGTTCTCTCCGTTTTTCCTGCCCAGGGGGGTTGCGCGGCCGCAAATTGCACGTTTTCTAATTCGCGCATTTCCCACCCGGAAGCATCTGCTGGCCCGATTCCTCCGATTGTCATCTCGTACACTCCGTCATTTATCCGACGATCTCGCGTCTTCGAAATTCGCGCGCGATGACGATTCGTTGATCGCCCATCGTGGTGAGTAAACGAGTATCTACAGCCGTAAAGCACGCAATAAGACGTAAGTAATAAGCCGATTGACCAACGACAGTCAATTATTCACGGGCTGTAAGAATCCGACTGGTCAATCAGCTCGTCACTTCCTACATCCCACCGCTGTACTTCACGGCCGTCGTGGACGGTCCTTCAATTTCCGAAAAGGCAAGGGCCCTCTCACCTCGTACAGCATCCCCAACGAGAAGATGACCTGGAACGCGTTGTACACCACGAGGATTATTCTCAGTTTGTACGGCTTTCTGTTGACCATCATACGCGGGCCAAGTATGACGACGAGGTACATGTAGAGGAGCACGATGAGGATGGTCGGGACCGGCGAGTCCATGAGCGGCCAATCATTGACACGTGGGTCCGAGGCCGTCGTGAGGATCTCTGTGTACTGGTCCAAGGCCATCTTCACCAAGCCCTGAGCGCCCACGAACGTCCTGTTCACGTCCGTCATCTCGATCCTCAACTCCGGCTCTCTCTCCGCCACTAATTCCGCTGCCGCCGACGCCATTTCTGGAAATGTAAGCCAACGTTCAGTCTCGTCTCGCAGCGAACACGATGCACACCGATAGCATGCACAGGATACACGTGCTCAATTGCCTCGCGGCAGATTAAAGGAATTCTGCGCACTCGTGGAGTCCGGCTTTCGCGCAGGGACCGAAGAGACCTTACGGGTCAATGCCGATCCCGGAAAGTCGATACAGCATTCATTCGTCGGGGGAAAAAAGGCAGCTGCGATCAGTGACTGATGCGTATGTTTTGATTGTCAACTGATAATGTCGGATCAGTTCAATGCCAGTAACTCGCCAGTAACACACGTTCCACCAATTAGACAAGATATCATTAATCAGTCATCGATTAATCGGAACATTTATCAGTCATTTAGATACGCTTGATCAGGTGTCTCTTCTCGTAAGGATCTTACAGCGGAGACACGTGTAACGCATGAGCAGGTTTATTTATCAGGTTGAATATTAAAATAGGAGGGGAAAAAAAGTGAAGGAGAGAAAAAAGCATTTAGAGCGCTCCGATCGAGCGAGATTAACAAGCACACGTTTACTTGTTATTATTGCTCCGCGGAATATTAACAGATTTTTTCCCTCATGTTTTTCTCGATATAGAATGTGGCAAGAATAATAAATAGCGAGGCGCCGGGAATTCTTCGCCTCGACGGTGAGGAGACAAATGAATAACCGGTCACGTCTATGACGTCCATGCTACGTTCTAACGACAGGAGTCGACTTGCACGAGTCGACACACGTGACACAGGAAACTGCTCGCGAAGACAGAGTCGAACGTCGCGGGCGCGTCATGTGTTCTTGAAGTCGATCTCGTGTATCTTCGAAAGTAATAAGAATGATAAAAAGAAGTGCGCGAATTCATTACACTATAAATCCAATGTATGCAATTTTACGCACTTATGTGGGTAAAATCATGCTGTTACTCTTCATTTGTACGCGTGTTACTGCTATGATTTTACATACATAAATGTGCAAAAATTACGCACTTAGGTTTGCAGCGTATACGTAATGTAATTTTTTCACACACTTAGGGGAGACCGGGGCTTAAGGGTTGGTTAAAGGGGTAAATATATTAATTGAATATTTCTCTTGTTTTCTAACAGATCGCAGAATCCAGCAAATAGGGATATAACTATCTTTGATATGTTTGAAATCTCTGTTCGCTCGATTTTGTCATCTGTTAGAAAATAGCAGAGATAGTCGATCAGTCAATTTACCCCTTTAACTAACTCCCCCCTGTGTGTGTAAAATCTTATAACGCGCATACAAATGTTTAAGAAGTAACTATATATTTTTACACATTTAATTCCTTACACACTTCTCTACATAAATATGTAAAATTACTCCTGGTCCGCGGAGAGACTCCCCAAACGAACGCAACTTCTAAAACCGGGAGATAAAACACCTCTCAGAGCTCCTACGTACAAATGCCTTTAAGACGTCTTCAAAATACCTTTTACACAGCTCTTATGTCCCGATTTTAGATATTGTGTTGCCTATCGGATCACGTCGCTAACTGATAGCCAACGGAATCGCAAACGAGACGAAAGAAATTTCCTCCGTTATCGCGCAGGAAGCCGGTGTAATCGGGCTCCGCGAGAAGTACGATTCCATAATCGACCGGGACACCTGGATGACTCTTTCCGTTCACGTCGCCGAGCTCGATTACACACACACACACACACACATGTAATTCTAATCGTCGATCAAAACAAACTTTACTTCTACGTGGAACGCAACGGGTCAGAAAGATCGCCGGCGTTATCGTGGTCTCATCGTCGTGTCGCGCTTTCGCTGCACGGTTTTATATATGTATGTAAACCGGTCTTCTCTTTTCTTTCTTCCTTTCTTTTTCCTCCTCCTTCTTCCTCTTCCTTCTCCTACTCGTATCATCTCTTTTCACGTCACTCCTCCTTTTCATTTCCCGTATGAGTCAATAAATCAACTGCGTTCTTCGAGTCAACAGAACGATGCCAGAGAGGGTTGCGAATTCAATGGGAATTCAATGCCGTAAGTAGTCGCGGGCGCGTTGTGCCTGACCCGCACGTACGACGCGGCGCGTCTGCATCTACTTACAGCGCGGCGCGTTCACGATCCGTATCACGAAAATACGATTTCGGGAGATAACTTCGTCACGCGTCGGCGTGAAATTCTTTTTCATTCTTGTGCCCTTAAGAACATTTCGAAATTCGCAAAAATGGTTTTTCGAAAAGTATGCAATTTTCGGGAAATCTAAATACATAGTTACGGAGCGTATCGAACTTTTGCTCACTATAAGGAATTTACATTTCACGATTTCAAAAATGTTAGCTCACCAACGAATATACGGAATTAAATTCGAGAGATTACTTAAACCTATTGCAACAACACAACCAAACGCGCTTGCACGCAGAAACTGCCGCTTCAGCTCCAACTGCTGTCTACAGTAGACGAAATTCATGTTCCGTTCGACGGAGTTTCGTACTTTACTAGCTGAGAAACATAGTCGATTTACGTCGATTCATCGCACCCGTGTCAGTTTTCGTGCTCTTTTCCTCTATTTAAAAAAAATGCGTTTTCCATTCTCGACTCTCTCACGACATATTGCTGGAAACATATTTCTGTAGATATGAACAATTAAATATTATTTATTGTATAAGGGAAGTGAATTCCTGTAAATAAATGAGGTAAATGTACTTCACGAGTCTCGTCGAAATCGGCGAGGGATATTTTCAGATCTTCCCCGGTCGGCCAGAGCGAACAGATGTGCGTATCACCGGGTTCCTTGATATATCGCGGCATCATTGTTAATTCGACGTCGGAGACTAACGGACGCTGATTTCTAATCAGCGATTTCTCGACATCCTCTGGAAGCCGAAACTTTCGAGCGGGAGACTTCAATGCCAGGCAGGCGCGAATTAATGGATGCGCGAGTGGATTAACCCCTTGATCTCGGCGCATCGCAACGTGCACCAGTCTCGATTCACTTGTCATGCTCTACTATCGCGTGCTATATCCAAATATATCCGTTTATGTATCTCGAGACGGATCGCAATCGCGCAAAGGCGACAAAGGTAGCCTCGACGAGAAGCAGCTTGTCGTTGCCCGGTAAGTAAGAAATAATTACCAGCGAGATATTGACTCAGTACCGATTTCTAGCGAATAGTTTTAGACGCCAATATCGACTTGATATTGGTGGAATACTGGAATGATGGCAACGGGAGAGACTCGGGAGACAATACTGCTCAGGTAGCAACAAAATATCGTATGAATATTTGTATGAAATAAGAATGTTGTCAATTTCAGAATATTGCAATCGAATATTTTATGAATATACCGTGGAATATTGTTGGTGAGGAGTCGCATGTTTACGAAAAAGAAGAATGTCCTCGAAACGTTCGCAAAGTTCTCCTGCTTTCCTATTCAAGACGATCGATATCGCGACGTGAAATCCACATTTCAGTATTGAATTGGTACTTTTCGCCGGTCTTCAGGACGATTCCCATACGGGCCGGCGGTCTCCAGGCGAGAAGTCGCCTCGGGAATCGGTTCTGTAACTAAATCGTCCGGGGGAGACTGGTCTGGCGCGAGTTTAACGGCAGTTACACACGTAATCGCCCGCGAACATCGCGCGATAAATAAACCTCTCTCACGTAATCCGGTGTTGTCCGTGTCGAACGTCGTTCCGTTGCCGTCGTAACACTTATCGAGATTTAAGACTCGTCACTGTGACTGTCGCACTCCTCCTCGTCCTGGTCGCCGTCATCCTCCGTGGACAGCGTTGAGACCCGAGTATGACACTTTCTCGTCGCGTCCATCGCACCAAGGAAATCGTCGATTTCGTAATCGCGCTCTTCCGCGTGGTCATTAGGTTGCGGGCGCGCTTTTCGTGGCTCCGCGACACGTAGGGTGCCTGTCGTTATCATCGATGAGCGACGCAGATTTTCGCGCCGTAACAAACGCGCGACAACGATGACCAGACGGATGGGCAGACGTAATCCCTTAAATCGTCGTCGTTGCACCGTCGAGCGATTTTCTCTTCCGCGCCTGATTTAGGCACGCGCGTAACCGGCCCCCCTTTCGGACGCTTTCCACTTTCGGCGCGACTTTTTCTCTCTCCCACCGTCATTTCGAGAGACACAGCGGCTTGTTGAACGGTAATACGCCAGGATGACATCCGCGATGACATCTTCTGCGATTTGTGACGCTCGATGTACTCGCGATTTCCGTACTTGCGACGTAACCGCGACCGTTTCGGCGATTGCACTTTTCCCGCCGGCGAGAGAAGACGATTTGCAGCGCTTGATCGAGGCTTACGAGGTCGATCGTCCGGTAATCTCGGCGTCATCGCGATGTCACAGGCTGCACGTAAATATTCTTCAAAGGATGCTACCGACAAACGGAATATCCTTCGTTTAGTCGCGAGTTTGCGCAATTTTCATGCGATGCCGGCTAATGACTTTACTTTCCAAATAACGTAGAAACGGGACGGACTTCTCGAAGAGGAAGCACGCATGAGAAATTGGAACGTCTTCGCGAGTTCTTTACGGACGCTCTTTCGATGACTTTCCCGTCGCCTCGCTCGAAGATCGGCTTCGAAGACCGATTTGCCGAGCGAGTGTAACATGTACCGTGCCGAATGCCCATAAGTAATATTTCTACCCAATTTGATATTAAAGTATTCACCACAAGCCGGTTACAAATGTACGCGTGTCTGAAGGTGTAGCGATTTACCGTTCCAGAGAAAACAGGCTCCAAAGATTTCAATTCTGACTATTCCGGCGATTATTTCATCAGTCGGGATTGAAACTTTTACAGCCCATTTCCTCTGAAACGGTAAACGGCTACATCTTAAAACATATATATTTGTTAGTATCACGTTCTAGCGCGAGTACTTCAACCTGACGCCAAAATTGTGTACAAAATCGAGCGGGGGAAAAATGGGGAGCATTTTTCTTTCAGCAAAATTCTTTTTATAGGCAATCACGTTCTTATTCTGAATATCGAAGTGAT